GATGGAGAGAAAATACTTAGCTTTATTAGTGTCTCATAGAGCAGCAGCTGATAACCGATTAATCAACTCTTTATCAATCAAAGCTTTGCCATGCCAAACACTTCTGATGGTTCTACCCACTTGCCAATACCATGCAGTGAAAGTATTCCTATTATACCCCATTGCCAACTGTCAATACACAGGGTATGTGCACAAACATATTTATTTACGCATATTAGAAACCATACGCAAACCAGACAAAGTTCTGCACTTCGTCAATGTCAATATGGACAGGGACAGAGCCATTGACCAGTTTGTTAAATTAATCAGTAAATCGTTAAATTGACTTTATAAAAAAACTTAAATTATTGCCGGCAGCCAAGTATGAGCAGCGCCAAAGTCGATTCGACTTAAAGCTTATACAAAATTTGCCTCTTTTCCCAGCGTGCTTATCAAATCACATGTGAGCAAGTTCGTTGCCTAAGTCTTCTGTTTTTTGTTTTGTTTTGTTTTTTTTTTTTTCGTCAGTATCTGTAGCGTATCAGTATTTTATCTCTTTCTTCTTTTCCGAGCATATGTTAACAAGAAACGCAGTCACCAAGCGAGCGAGAGTCGACTCTCGGCCAGACTCCCAAGAAAAGCAGTTAAGCATCTCTAAAGATGTTCTTCTATGTCTATTTTGTTTTGTTGTTGTTTTTTTTTTGGATTTGTTTTTTTTTTTCCTTTTTTCAGGTGTAAAAAGAAAGAAGGTTTTTCATAAATTCAAATCCAAATGCCGATCGTAAATTTCTTTAGAGCCTGCTGCACATTTGCTGCCCTTCCACGTAATTTCGTTAGCGCCCAAAGGGACGCGCGCACTTAAAAAGAAAAGAAAAACCAAATTTGGGCAACAGAAAATAGCTGTGTATAATAAGTTCTCCATGTGTGTGTGTGTTATGGTCCCTGTCTTCGTGTTGGTCGCACTTACCCTTTCTTTTGTAAATATTAGTTGTGTTCTGTCCGCATTGTTATTGCTAAAGTTTAGTGGCCCATTGTCAGGATTACGATATGATATGATATGAGAGTCAGAGGCCCAGGCACTTTCTTTTGGCCTGGGAAATGTTTTATTTTGATTGGAATTCTCTTTTGAAGTGCAGCCTGTTGCCCAAGACTGTTGCCACATACAAAGAGATCAACTATATGTGTATTTATAGCTCTTCGATTCTAAGTTGCAGTCTGTGTCTGCGCTGCTTTGTGGATTTTTGTTTTCTGCATTGATTTTCTTAGCTGCAGGTGCGGAAGCAATTTGTTTAGAATTTTGCTGTAAACGCAACAAGCAGAGCAGCTACAAAAACAAAAGCAACAACAATAAAAGTAACAACAACAAGTGCCACAAGAGCCGGGTCCCGACCAACATGGACATTAAATAAAAGCGAAAAGAGTAAACATACAACACGAGAAAATATTGCATGCTCAGTTTGCCAAGAGGCAAATGCTGCACGAGTGTTGGTGTGTGTCCGTGTGTATGCAAATTATTATGCACACAGAGACGACGCAACAACGACAACAACAGCAGCAGCACAGCTAGCCAAACACTTGAGTCGCGTTGTCAGCCAAAGGAATCGTTTCAACTGCCTTGCAACTTCATTGGCCTAACTTTAAAGACTCGCCAAATCAATGTGAACTAACCGAAAATAACTCACGGAACTGAATCGACGAGGGCAGCTCCAAATAGATGTGAAAACAAAGAATGATAATATATACAAAGCTAGTATTTTAAGACTTACGTCCACTACTTGATGAGATAGGATTTAGTTATATTTTTTTAAAGGTTTGTTTTAGGATTGAAAATATAAGTGAATCGCTGAAATGTAATGCATCCAAAGAATTCATTTCAGCAGCCTGCCGTCTGCCGTCTTATAGCTTAAATAAGCTCGTCATGGAGCAACTTGAGCTAGACTTGAAGTATTAAACGAAGGTGTGCTTATGACTTAAGTTAAATTAATTTAAGTTCAAATGTGATAAGACATTCAAAACACTGTGTATTTTATACAAGAAGATGCAGAACTTTTGCACATTTTAAGGAATTACTGAGCATATCGTATTTATTCTTCCATACCTACTATTAGAATAAGTTCTTAAGTAAATATAAGTAGTGTCTTATATATCTATGATCCACAAAGTGCTTAAGTCTCTTAAGAATTAAAATAAATTACAAGTAAATCACAATGACAACTCCATAGAAAACATTTCGTACAGCTGAGCTCAAATTTTAATAAATATGTTTTTAAAATTCTTGAGCATGTGCTTAAGAAACAGAAGTTGAATGAATCGAATCTCAATCAAGTTTTTTGTGTTCCTTTAATATTTTAAATAACTTAAAGAATTCCTTTAATAAATGTTTATATATTTCCGGAATATTCTGTTTCTTAAGTACCAAAATAAAATTACAAGAAATTCACATTCCCATCACAGACTTCACTTGGCTCAGTTTAATATATATTTTTATATTTTGATATCTCACTTCTGGTAATAAAAGCATAGCATTATTCATTGAGCTACCCTAGCTACGTATCATAACTGTAGGCGCATTATGTTTTATTGTTGCTTGAACCTTATGGCACATGTCCATAAACTTTTATTAATAACCCCATAAAAAATGATCATAAAAATTCTGTACTCTTGTTCTTGCTGTTGCTGCTGTTATTGTTGTTGTTTGTTACGGTAAGTTTTACAACACACATATGCAAAGTTTGCAGTTTTACCTCATGAATGCCTGTCTGTGTGTGTGTGCTTAGACAATGGCACAGCTGGTGGGCTGTCTTCTGCCCCTTTGCACCCACCTCAACAATTTCTCCACATTTCTTGTTTAGATATTTTATGTTTGAACTGCAAAGAACTCTATTATATTGTTTTATGGTTTCCCTCGCTTAGATGAAGGAAATCTCTTTGATTTTAGCTAAAGAAGATTTCTGTTTCTCTGCCCGAAATGTAAAATGATATGTTTAAAGAGTTTGTAGCAAGTTCTGAACGTGTTAAAGTCACAAGTTCCCTAACACGTCCTAAAGGTTATTTGATATATTTATTAAACTAGCATAACGATTTTTATTAAGCTCCAACAGACACACAGACAAGCACACACACAGGCACACACGCTTCGTAGGAGCATTGTGAACGAGAAACGGGTTATCTAAACATTTGGTGCTCTTTATATTATAAAGCCTTTCGAATTTCTTATGAGATTTGTAGCGCACAACTAAGTCGAAAGTGTGCAAAGCGCGGCAACTATGTCCATAGAGCAACACTAAAACTTTGTGCTGCTCATATACACATATATATATATATATATATATATATATATAATTCAGTCTCGTTCCAGTTGCAGACGCCTGGCTGCCTGACTGCTTGCCTTATTTCATTTCATTTTATTTACGTGAACTACTCTGGTGTCCAATAAAATATACGCAACGAAATCAGATGCAAAACTCCAGGCAACGAGACGAGTCGCTGGAAAAGCCAGCCCAAAAGCCTGAGATACGCATGCCAAGGCTGCGCCAGAGTGAGAGAGATATAGCCAGAGAGTGACATAGAGAGAGAGAGAGAGAGCGAGAGAGCGATAGCGAGAGCGCGCAAAAGATTCTCATTCTCAGCATCTTGTCGTTGAGACACGCGGACGCACTTAATGAGCAGCGATCTTAAATCTTAAAGCAGACGCAGAGACAGCCGCCAGAGATGGCCTGGACCTGAGGCCTGGCACCAGGGTCTGCTGGCTGCTATCTGTGCAGAGGCAGGGCTCACACACATGTATATGCGCGTCTCTGTGTGTGTATGTGTGTGTGACGAAAGTATCTTGAACTGCGCTTTGCCTCATTCCGGCTCAGCTTCATCTTTCTTCTGGCTTCGTCGCTGCACTTGAATTTCAAACTCACACAGAGACAGAGATAGCAACATCGTAAGGGAGAGAGAGGGAGACAGTAAGAGAGAGTGAAAGAGTGCGAGAGAGGGGGACACTTCAAATGCTTATGAAGATATTATGAAAAGCAAGCCGAGGCCGAACTGAAGCTGGAGTTGGAGGCAGTGTCTGCGGCCTGCGTGACAACCATGCCACTCGAGTGGCTGAAAGCAGAGAGAGAGAGACAGGCAGAGGCAGAGAGGCTGCAGCATTTTGTGGCAAGTTACTCCGCGCTCTGCTGGCAAGTTGACAAATGCAGCGCAGAGACGAGACAGCCATGGGAGTAGTTAACCATGGAGCACTAGAAGCAATCCCAGTCGCAGCCGCAGTCGCAGCTGCTGCTGTTGCTCATCTCTTGGCATCTTCTTCACCTGCAAAAAAGATCAATGACAATTTATTGTCATGACTATGTAAGTTCTCGCTGGCGCAGGCGTGCTCATACCTACATATGCAACGTGCAACAAATATCAGCAGCATGCATCTGCATCTCCATCTGCATCTGCATCTGCAGCTCTATCTGTATCTGTATCGCAAAGCAATTCGATTTGATTTCTTCTGTTTGTGTGTTTTTATTTGTTTCGCTTAAGGAAAATGGCAAATAAATTATACAAAAATGATATCTACCTATAGATTACAATTAGCTTTCACTAATGCTTAAACAAAATATCACAAAAAAGTATCTTAAAACTAGAACTAAATACGATAAATGTGAAAAGTAGTTAAGTAGGTAAAAAAAGGATGCTTAAAGACAAGATATTTTAATGCTTAATACTCGCTTTAGATATTGATCGGCTATTGATCTGATGTCCTGCTAATACTCGTACTTGGCCACGCCCCTCACTCTAACTATTAATTATTTATTGGAATTGTTAAGCTCTTTCCTCCCTTTCAGTTTCTTGACTAAATTGTGCGGGCCAGTTGTGAACATTTGGCATTTGATTAACTTAATTCGAAACTAAGTTTAATCATCTATGTTTAACAAGTCGAACATTTTTTTACTTTTCTTTCAGTTAACGATATTTACAGCTTATCAGTCAGAGATATATATATATATCTTTATATCTATATGTAGAGTAGTTGTTATCGTTTCGTTTCATTAGCTGCTCTTGTTGCTGTCGCCGCACTTGTGAACCTGGGCCAGCACGCGATCGATGCGCTCTGCCAGAATCTTGATTGATTTATCCGGCAAAGAGGGCAACACATCACGCACATTCGGGCTGGTTGTACGCTCAAACAGTTCGCGCAGTTGGCGACCCGCGCCCTCGGCACGCAAGCGCTGCAACGCCTGGATGGTGGGACGACGAAAGATGCACAGATTGTCCAATAGCAGACTGTGATAGGCCTCATACTTTTTGAGCAAACGATAGCCATGCAGCAGGCCCGATTCGTTGTCCAAGAATACGAGCAGCTGCGTCTCGCTCTGTCGCGCCAGATTGTGAGCTGGCGCAGCCATAATGTCGGCATTCCATTGAAAGTTGTACAAGTTATTAACGACACGATCGAGGTTCGCGATCAGGTAATCGAAGACGATTAAATCGGACCATTGTGCCAATTCAATTAGTCGCTGCAGCAGCGCCGACGACGAGGACGATGGCGACGATGCTGAGGACGATGCTGTCGAGGATGCTGTAGCGGATGACTCCTCAAGCATGCTTGATTGATGATCAACCGTTTGGCCGCTGGCAGCAGCCACCTCCAGCCGTTTGAGTAATCCCCGCGACATGACCGTACCAGCATCCCGCTGCATTTGCTGCGTTATATTCCAGACATCGTATTTGTTGAGATGCCGCTCCAGCGGCTGAAACGGTTGCGGTATACCGGCTGGCTCCAAATCGGCCAGCCAACGCGTTAATACCACAGGCCGATGCTCCTTCCATTGCGCCTGGGTTATGTCGCCCAATGCCGTCGACCAACTCGTTGTCGTTGTGTCAATGACTGTCGCTGCACTTGGCGCCAGGTTGGTTATGTTCAGCAGTTGTCCCAAATAGTAGCTAAAGATTTCGCCCTGAATTTGATCCGTATTCTGGCGATAGCGTGCACAGGCGCGTGTCCCATCGGCGAAGACCACAAGACGATTCTGCATGCGTCCGCAGCCATGCTCCAGTCGCACCACTTGACCTTGCTTGGCGACGTAGCGCTCCCAGCTGTGCTGATCATCGGCGGCAAAGCCTTGCGGCAATGCCTGCTCCACTAGGTCACCCCAATAGATATCCGCATCAATGATGCCCGCCGTTTGCAGCTCATTTTCGCCCGCCTTTCGCAGCGCTTGTTGCTGCGGCTTGGCCAGCGATTTGCTGCGTTCCGGTTGCACGGTTTTTGTGAGACGTCGCTCGGGTCCCTTGCGATAGCGTCCATTGGATGTGCGCTGGACATGGAACTCCTTGATGCTGCCGTCGTTTGTGTCCAGTTTCTTGACTATCATCGAATCGGGCGCATTCTTATCCTGCTCCAGATGGAAGGCATTGCGAAAGACCTGCTCGGCGCTCAGCTCCAGCTGCTCGGCCTCCTCTTTCACAAAAGAGACGCTGTAGGGCAATGGCGGTCGCTCATAGCTGCTGCTTAACGGCTGTTCGCTGGGCGGCAGCAGCGCAGCAGTCGCCAACTCAGCGCTTCCATCGCTGTTGCTGCTGCTGCTGCTGGCAAAGTAATCAGGCAGCCCAAGCATGGGCACGATGACGCCCAATGCCATGCCAAAGACAAAGGCGGCCAATATGCTGAGCAGGCAGGCGCGACGCTGGAACGCCCGACGACGGCGCAGCGTCAACAGTGTCATGTGTGTGGCTTCAATGGGGCTGCTGGAGCTGCACTTCGATGTGAGGGCAAGCGGCGTGGGCGTTATAACGCTGCAGGTAAGCTGTAGCGGCGCCGAGCCGCTCAACCTTTCGTTTAGTGTATGTCCAATAGGCTGTTGTTGCTGTTGCTGTTGTTGTTGTTGCTGTATTTGTTGTAGCTGCTGTTGTCCGGCTTCCAGGCGCTTGATGTCGTACATTTTGCTCTCTCACTCACTCTCTCTCTTTCTCTCTCTGGCTATGGCTCAAGCTGAGTGCCAGTTCAAGCTGCGCATAAAGAAGCCGGCGCTGGTTGTTGTTCTTGTTGTGTTTGTTGTTGTCGTTGAGGGCGTGCAACGCACGCTTGGACTCAGCTCAAATGCAGGCACAGAAAAGTCGTGAAATTAATTTCTGGCTTTGTTTAATAAATATTGCTAGGCTGGGCTAGTCCTTGTGCTAGTCCAGCTAAGTTCTATCGCCCCGTTGTCTCGACCGGTTCGCTTAATACGTTTTGCCGATTTTTCTGCGATTTCCACAATTGAAATTGAAACAGCAAAAGCGCGCAAAAAAAATGTGGAAAAAGCACAGAATGAACGTAGGAAAAACGTGCCCAACGCCGCTTTTATTTATTTTATGCTGCTTCAATTCTGTTGCCTTTTTTTATTATTACTTTTTTTTTTGTTTTTTGGGTCGGTTTATCGATCTATTTTCTGCACGATCACTTGTTGTAATTTTTTATTATACATTTTGCAGTGCAGTCGCTGTTTGCTGTTGTTGTATCTGTGGGCTGTTGTTGCACATGTATGCACATAGCGAATATGCCTTTCGGGTAATATTTTAGCAATTTCCTCGCTCTTTTTGGAGTTTATCGCTGGCTCCACGCGATGCGCTGCTCTTGTTGTTGTTATTGTAGACTGACTAAGGGCCCGAAAGCTGTTGGCTGGTCAGCTAGTTTAACAGTTTTTTGCCTTTGTTTGTTTTATTATATATATATTTTTTCTTTCAATTTTTGCGCAATTGGCGATTTTGGCGCGGCGATAAAAGCAATTTCGTGGCTTTGAGCTATTTACCACACACACACGTGCGCGCGCGCGCGTAACACACACACACACTTACACACACAGAGAAGTGGACTTGTCTACAGTCGTTTTGGCATTCCCAGCCTGATGCACTGCGCTTGATAATTGCCAACAGCAGCGCGACAAGTCCAAGTCCAAGTCCAAGTCCCAGTCGCTGGGCAACACCAAGTCCTGCCAAGGCTCGGCGACTAGGCACGGTCAAGGCTTTCGTTGTTCTTGTTGTTGTTGTTCGTCGTTTGCTTTAAGGTTTATCAATTTAATTTCTTGTCTCGCACCTTTGCTTGATTTTATTTTTTTCTTATTTTTTTAAGGGTTTTTGTTCGCTTGACCGTCCGCAACATTCACGTTGTATGCCGCACACCGAACGATCTCTGGAATTTTTATGCTTTTTATTTTTTTTCTCTTTTATTTCTGCTTTAGCCTGATATTTGCCGTATTCACGTTTGCGTTGCTGTCTTTCATATAACTATATAGCTAGAACGCCTATATATATATATATCTCTATATATAAAGCTTGTCTTGGTTTCTGACTGAATGCACTCACTTAGCTCTTGGCTCACAACACTTTTTATTTGAACAGTTTTGGATATATATTTCTCAGTCATATATATCGGAAAGTTGCGTTTAGTGCGCGCATGCGTACCGCTTCGTTCGAGTGTGGATGGCAGACTGTCGACTGGAGAGCTCTCGCTGGGCTTAGTTAAAGACCGGACCAGCAGCTCAAACCCGGCATCGACTCACAAACTCAAACACACACACACACACACACGCTCTCTTCCTCTCTTTTGCTCACACTCTCTGCCATGCCGGTTGTGTCTTCTGTTTGAGTGAAACTCGTGCGCGCTCTTTGCAACGTAACTCAGCTACATTTATTTGCTCTCAGTGTTTGAAACATGCACATTTATGTACTCGAACTGTTGGCTCCCGTGCAATCATGATTGATGTTACAGAATCCGCCCTCAACGCGCAAGCTGAAGAGCAATAGCTTATTCTCGAAGAACTTGCCAGTATATGTGAAATTGTATTCATTGATATAGGACGGAAATAGATTTGGATCGAATTTAAGGTGATCCAACTCGTAGGTGATGTTCTGCATGTAAAGAAGAGACAACTTAAACACCTGTTCCGCCAAACGACATGTGACTCACCCGCCTGAAGGGACATTGTCGGGGAAAATTGTTATTCGTATTCTGTAAGCCATTGTAGAGGAAAGCTAACAGAGTTGGTCGCTTCACTTTGCTCGCCAGCTTGCATATTTCCAGGCGAAAGCTTGGAAAACTTACGCGCTTATTGGTCACAAATGAATCAAGCTTTATTTCCGATACCCCTACGACATTATACAGATCAACATTTTTGATACTTCCTCTCAACGACAGTGTGCTACTATCCTCCAGAATGCACCTGAGGTTAACAATGTTCATACTCTTCGCTGGACACTCTACGCTCGTAAAGAGGAGTTGCTTGAGGGAATGAATACGTATTATGTAAAATATATATCACTATATAGTCGTTATAGCCACCTTTCCGGCCAAGCTAGGCACTACCAGCCAGTTGTAAATAATCAAAAATAATTTTCGTTTCAGCCACATTTCTTAAATTGTGAACGCACCGTGATATTGGGTAGTTATATTGCAACTAACGATGGCAATGGGTATAACTTCATGAGCTAACCTCACGTACCATCAAGATAAGTTCTATCATCTTTTTAATGATTTTTTTGCTGCGTTCAAAAACTTTATTCATGCATAACATTAATTAAAGAAAAAAAATGTTAATCGAATGTTATTTTAATTCGCTTTTTTGCACAGGCAAGCATTATTACCGATTTGGCAAAACGAGCCAACGGCGTGTAGATCAAAGAGATTTGCGTTGGCTCCAAAGAACTTGGCAGTTATTGTAAAATTATATTCAGGCAGGAACATGGGCAAGCTATTTGGATCGAACTTGAAGTGTCGCAGTATATATTTAGCATTCTGCAAGCAATTAATGATCATTTCGATTTCTAGTGCAGGTTAACCTATCGTCTGACTCACCCTCTTGAAGGGACATTTGCGTGGCAAATTGTTCTCGGTCTGTTGTATGCCCTCATAGAGAAAGCTCAATAGTGAGGGTCGCAAGCGAGTTGTCACCATCTTGCATATATCCAAGCGACCTCCAGATATTTTCGTGCCCTTAGCCTGATAGTTATAGAGATCCAATTCCAAGAACCCAATCAAATTGTTAAGGTCCTTGTTGCCCACTGTTACTTCCATCGAAAACTCCGTAGAATTTTCCATAAAGCAGGACATTTTTGATATTAGATTGGTTTTTGCTTCGCATTTCAATTCGGTAAACGTGACGCGCTTATGAAAATGTTTATGAATATCTTAGAAAATGTCTTATATTTCGTATCACTTGAAATACCTTTTGAGCTAGGCTTAAGGTCAACAGTCCAGCGATGCATATACCGAATAGATATAGGCTTTGAGACATTTTATTGTTTACTAAAAAAACTGCAGACTGACTGCGAAATATGAACGATCTATATATTTATATCAAACTCAACTTTTATTTTTTTAATTATTTCATTTTTAAAAACTTTTCCACTTTGCCAATAATTGGGCAACATTTAGGAGCTCGTTTTTATTTCAGTTTTTATTTTTCTGTATAGTATATTTAAGCTTTATATTTTTCCATCAGATTTTTCTAATTGGGATCATTTTTGTCATAAATTAGCGAGCCTGCTATACGCACTTCATATGTTTTCACATAGTTCACGTGAAACTTTCCAATGTATGTGAAATTATATTCCGGCGTAAACATTGGCATATAGTTGCCATCAAACTTTACATGGCGTACATAGTATGTGGTATTCTGAAAGCATTCAATTGAAGTCCATGTAACGCATCAAGAACAATTGGCTTGACTTACCCGCTGGTAGTCGCATTTCATGGGTAAATTGTTTTCTGAATTTGCTAGACCCTTCTGCATAATGGTTAATATAGACGGCTTATTGGTGACATTCAGTTTGCACAGATCCAGACGCACGCCTTTAAAGCGCATTCCATCTCTTATGCCCGACATTCCCAATGTCAAATCAGATATGCCCACCAAATGGTGCACCTCGACATCATTGGTCCTCAATTCTATAGTAAATGCGTCCAAGTGCTCCAGGAAACATTCAACTTTGTGCAATTTATTGCTTTTCAGTTGGCATTGAATTTGTCTGAACGTGATTCTCTACGGGACATCGTTAAAATTGGCTTTGATATTAAGTCCAGAACTCACCTTATTAGCAAAGCTAGCACTAAGCACGCAGGTGAGCATGACTAAATGGGCGAAATGCTTTTGTGTCATTTCTATAATTTTTATTGGATTGCCCAACTAACACATCACGCAATTCAATTGCAACTAAATGTGAACAGCAAATAAACAAATTATACGCGCAGCAATTAGAGTGACTAGAGAAATCTAATTGATTTGTAATGATTCCAATAGTAAATACAAAAAATAATCATAGAATTCATCGACAGCCATAGTAAATCACACAAAAATATATCTCAAATTATATGTATATATATATACATATTTATGTATACATTGTCATTTAATTTAATTGGCTCATGTGAAGTCACTTCCGATATTACAAATTGATCCATTGATTTTCACTTCAATCACTCGCACATTGTTTATATAGAATTTGCCAGGGTATGTAAAGTTGTATTCCGGTAAATCGCTGGCCACAAGGTTGGCGTCGAACTACATATGCACAGAATACCAAATTTCCAAGATAACATAAGATATATTCAATGTCCCACAGTCTTCAGTAGTTATTTTATTTTAAAATTAAATATTTAGTATCTCATCTACAATCATTTCCGATATTACAAACTGATCCAGTGACTTGCACCTCAGCCGTATGCACACGGTTCACAAAGAACTGGCCTAAGTATGTAAAATTATATTCCGGTAAATAACTGGGTGCAAATTTGGCATCGAACTGCATGTGATCCATTACGTAGGTGGTATTCTACAATCATAAGGCAGGGCACATTATCTTATTCTTTCTTGAATACATTCGCAAGCTCCCAAACTTACCCCAAGAAAAGGGCATTTCTGAGTAAAATTGGTGGTCGCAACTCGTCTGCCCGTATTTATCAATGATAAAAATTGCGGCTGGTGGCGGTCGGCCGAGGGTTTGCAGAGCTCTATGCGATATCCTTTAAATTGTAATACGTTTTTGATAGCATTTACATAAATATATAAATTCGATATGCCATAGAAGCTCGCGATTTCGTTGATTGTTGTGAGGTGAAACGATATGGCAGTATCATTGTCTTTTATGCACTCCACACGGGCTAACACTTTGCTCTTCACAACACATTGCATTTTCTTAAGCATAATCAGCTTTATGAAACAAATATAAAACATATGAGTTTTGTAGAATCATTTGAGCGATGTGAACGTACCTTCGCGCCAAAGGCCTGGCTTATAATAGTCGCGTATATAACGCAGCAGATAAGCCATTTGACGTGCATCTCTCTAGCTTAAAGCAACTGAACTACGATACGAATGAATCTGTTTTAAGCAATTTATATCACTTTCTGAGTAATTTCAATGAATATTTAAATATTATTATTATATATATTTAAATGTAATTAAAGCTGAATGTATAATTGCTCATTTAAATGCTGCTATAGGCCATGCAAGTATATAAAACAATAGATCTTAGCATTCTGCCACTGAACTACGCCACAAACGGTAAAATCTGATCCAATCTATAACCATTTCCAATATAGTTTTATGAAATTAGAATATATATTTTATATATAAATATACGTCAAATTGAAATAATAATTGCTCATATTTTTAACGATTGTTATCGTCATCTATTAGTGTAATATTTTTCCATGATTTAAATATTTATAAATATTTACATATGTGTATACATTTGTATATATAGTCAGGAAAACACTAAATGATATTTATTTAGAGGTGGAATAAACCCCTTCATGTGAGTTGAAGCAAAAGTTAAGAAATTTATATCAATTTCTGACCGATTTTACGAATTTAAATGCATATCATTATATTATTATTATATATATTTAAATATTTTTAAAGGTGAAAAACCTATTTTTCATTTAAATTAAACCACTATATATATATATATATATAAATAGCTTATTTATCTTATAGCTATGCCGACGGCAAAACATCACACACTAATCTAGATTTTTTCCGATAGTTATATTCAGTGATTTTCAAGGAAAATAACTGTTCTTCTTACGTATTCCCAAATTTCTCAATGAGAGAGAGCAAATTGAATGGCTTGTCGCTCAGTCAAGATTGGGCAAAACTGTCTGAGCAAAACTTTAAGTTCAATTAAGCACCATAGGCCACAATTTATAGCAGTTTCCCATTTGGCTTTTGGTAGTTTTAATGTATACTCAAACATATAATATATATTTAGAAATACTTAAAATTTAAATAATAAGTGTTCATTTCGTTAAAGATTTTTATCATAATCTATTAGAGTGATTTTTGCTTTGTAAAACATGGAAGGTTGAAATTAAATTCTGTTTATATATCAATATACTTACAAATAAAAATAGATATTTTAATGTAGGTCATGAAGTAGTTTGCAAAAAAAAATAAATATATAAAATTGAAAAATAATTGATTTTTTTTTAATTTAAAAAAGTATTTAAAAAAATATTTAAAATTTTATTTGGTTTTTGAGTTTTGTTCGACCTTAAGAGCAGCTCTTAAGAGCACACACAGCGCAAACTGAAAAACTCACTCAATGAGTAAGTGTGAATTTTCAACAAAGAGAGAGAGAGCGAGATCGAGAGAGAGAGAGAGAGAGAGTGCAGCTCAGCTGAGCATAAGCCCAGGCAAAGACCATGAACATTTTAATGTCCATTTGAAGCTCTTGAAGCGTTCGTGTTGTTGATTTTTATGCTCAGCGCGGCACATTTGCTGCGGCACATTAAGAAACTAGTATTTGGTGCTCTTAGCGTAGCAAGAGCGCGCTGCAATGGCAGCTCACAACACACTCACACATGCACAGCGACCGAGCTAGTGGGGGAAAAAAGGTTGGAAAAAATATGATCAAGGAATGTAGACATAACTTGACAGCATGTTTAGAGAATTTTTACTCGAGGACAGAGCGCGAATGTGCGTTGGAAACGGAATGAGTCGCCTGCTCGAGTAGCTCAGACGCAGAGCTGGCTGCGGCTCTGGCTGTGGCTATGGCTGTGGCAGGCAGGCAAAGTCAGAGGACAGGCGGGCAACGAAGACGACAACAACGAAGCTGGCGCATTCTTGGGACCAGGCTGCTCAGTGTGTGTATGTGTGTGTGAGAGAGAGAACGTCAGTGTGTGAGTGGAGTTAGACTCACGATTTGTCTAATTGAATTTGCACAAACAATTAAAAGTTGCTCAGTATCGAATGACAAGCATAAACATAATTTATGACCAGCAAACGGAGTGGCAGCACCAGCAGTAACATTTTAGTTTTACAGTTATTGTAAACTTAACACAGTTAATTTCGTATAGGTAGCCGGCATTAAATATGCAAATAATATATAAAATAGACTTTTAAAGTGTATGCACATCAAATGAAATCAAATGGCCATGCATAGATAACTAGCACTAGAGATCAAACAGAATATATGTCTATAACATTTGCAATAAATAAGCATAAAATTAAATTAAAAAATAAATAAATATATATATATATATTCAAAAGCTCAAAAGTGTCAGCTGTCTGCTGAGGCACCTTAAAAGAGACTGCTGCTATTGTGGCTGTTGTTTTTTTTGTCTTTTCATTATCTATCGATCTAAATTTCAAATGGAATATAACTCTAATTCGAGCGACATTTGGCTTTTTGTGGCCACACATAAACTCGTGAACATTTTATCTTATTTTTTTTCATCTTTGATTTGATTTTGTTTTTGTTGTTGGTTATTTTTTTCTTTCAATATTTGTAACACACGTATTTCAGCTATTTTTATTTTTAGCTATTTTCGTTGTTGCTTTTTGGCTATTTGCCCCGCAGTAATGCGTCTGTTGAAATTGTCAGTTTAAGTCAAATTAATTAACATTAATTTTTGTAGCTCGTTGCGAGGCATCAATTCAACCGGGTTGCCTTTTTTTGGCTGGAGATTTTTGTGTGTGTGCTTTTTTCTCCACGAGCTTAGCTTTGATGATAAATCGTAGCTCGGTTGGCGACTTTCCAGTTGGCACTGTGTCTTCATAGTCTGCACTGTCTTATCGCTGGCAGCCTTTTATAGCCAGCTGTTTGTTATTGCTGTAACTGTTGCCAATATGGTGGGAAAGAAGCTGGCGCTCGAAAACTTGTTATACTTTTTAGCCAGCAGCAAGGTCCAGGCCCCACAAGACTTAATCGAATTAAACAAATACATGTGTTTTCATTTTTGACTCTGGCTCCGGGATTTGACAAATGATGTTTGACTTTGTCAGTTATAACGATAACTAGCCTAACTGTTTAAGTTTTTCTGCTTTTTCTGTTATTTTTTCAGGGGCTCTGTCAAGTTCGTTGCTTAACTCTTTTGTTTTGTGGGAACAGCTTGGCGGCGCTGCGTTTCGTTTTAATTATTTTGCCAAAGACTTTGCCCGCGTATAAATTTCAGTGCAGCCAACAAACAAAGAAATAAAAACTTAACAAACACACACACTAACACTTACACATACACACACACTTACATATATACTGGAGCGGGGGAAAAAAACATTTTTTCGAAGTTTGTTAAGCGCAAATTCTTGAAATGTTTGCAGTGCGCAACAATTTGGAACATTTTGTTGAACACAAGAGGAGCAAACAGTGGAAAAAAGCAAATGAAAAAGAGAAGAAAAAAAACTGAAGAAAAAGAAACACAAGAAAATGTATCGGCGAACGCGTCGCCTCGTGGTCAACGAAAGTGAACGGCGAAGGACACACAAAGTGACGGCAACGACTGCTCCTCAAAATGAAACTGGAACTGGAGCTGTTAGCTGTTGGATGCTGGCTGTTTGGCTGTTGGCTGTTGGCTGGACGTGAGTGTGGCTCAAGTGAAACTGCCATTGTTTGCATTGCTAGATACCAGACCACTCATGCTAGACGCTGGCGTCGCTGATGATGACGACTTGGACGTAACTGCAACAGCGCCTGAAGAGGCAGCAGGAACTGCTCAAAAAAGATGATAAAAAAACTCCTTGCACACAGCTCAGCTCAGCTCAGGCGTCGTCGTAGTCGTCACGGCCCGTCAGCGCTAGCATCCACAAATCTACACAGCATCCTAGCTGGGCCAGCACTTCAAATATGAACGACGCACGGGCACGGGCACGGGCACAGCACCAGGCACCAGGCAGCAGGCATCAGGCATGGGGCACTTGCTATTGCTTCTGCTTGGCTCTTGAAGACTCCAAAGTCTTGGAGCCTCCAGACTTTGGCTGTCTCTCTGGCCTGCCAGGCCTGCCTGACCTGAGTTAAACAAATTCATTAAAAACTCGTCACTTTGCGCGCATCACGCTGACTTGGCATAACTGCCGCAGTCCCAGCATCAACCGCTGCCCCCGCTGCTAACCGTCGTCGTCGTCGTCGTCATCATCATCGCCGTCGTCGTTGGCGTCGTCGAGCATTGCCACTTGCCACAATACTCGTACTCGCATTTGCAGTCATATTCGCAGTCTCGCACTCTCGCACTCTCGCGCTCCTTTAGCCCTGCAGCCAATGAAGTGTCTGGGTTCACAGTCTTAAGGCCCATTGCCAGGATACCATTTGTAACCATTTTTGTCTCGAGCAACCTCTGCATTATAACAATATTTTTATAGCATGTCCCTTCACATTGTTTGCACTGCGCTGCAGCTTATACTTCCTACAATCCAAAGAGCGTAAGAGACTGAGAGGGAGAGAGACAGGGAGAGCGCGCCTTGAATTCCGTATATTTGTATTCTATTTTGAAAGGCCCTTCAATCAACTTGATCTTGGCAGCTGCCTGAAAACCGTAGTCAGATGCTGCCACCAGCATCGCTAGCTCCCCTGGCATTTCTCCTGAGAAAGCTTCGACCGATAAGCAGCCTGGCTCGCCCAGACGCTGCGACTGATGCCTCATTGATGCGCGCATTCGCTTCTAACGGCTGCGCACTGTATGTGACTCTATGTTTGTCGCTGTATGTGCGCGAGATAAGTTTCCAGGAAGCGCATTTTGCCGTCGGCCTCTGGCCAAAAACTGATGCCGCCTGTTGATGTCGCTGCAGACATCGCATTGCTACTGCCAAGCGCAAGTCGTATAATATGCACTAACTAACACGCATATTCAGGAAGTATTTTATGTCCAATTATTGTTAGCTGTCTCTCTATCCCTCTCTCTCTCTCTCTCTGCGTCTAACACGAGAAAAAGCTATAAAAGAAAAATAATATTTAAAGTGCACTTCATAATTTGCTTAACAATTATGCAAGTTTTTATGTTCATCACTTTAGATATATACGAAATAGATGACTGCAGATGTTTTTTATGTTCATATTGTTTTTAACTTAAAATTAGTTT